CCCCAGGTGGACGTACTTCCAATGTCGTCTATCAAGAGGCTCTTCGGTAAATAAAACTAATTTTTTCACAGATGTGTGATACACTACAAACGTGATGAGTTGTACTTGTGTGGAAAATGTCAAATTATTTTTTCTAAGTGACTCAGTTAACACATGGTCCACAGTATCTTTTGTTAACTTATATTTAATTGTTATAATAATGTACAATAAAAAATGTAAATAATGTAAAAGTAATTTGTTTGTTAATTGTTAAATTAATGTATTATTTATACACACAACCCGTACGAAGGACAGGTACACAGCTAGTTTTGCAATAAATGATTATTGAGAAGTTATTGATTGATTATTTCATTGAAAAACTAATTTAACCCACTTTGATGTAGATCTTGAACTGTAGTAACAATGAACATTTTCAAAACGTCCAGTTATTAGCATCACTATCAATCTTAAATGTGAGTAGACAGTTTTACACTTTTAAAAAGATATGATTAAGTGGTCAGTAGCCAAAGTTTCAGGTTATTTTTGTAGTAACAATTCTAATGGAATACAGACAACACCATGATAATCGTAATATACCTTTAGAGCCAAGGCATCTCAATGTTCATTACTTTGTCACATTTTTTTATGTGGAAATATGAAAAGGTGATGATTTAAGATTAATAAACTACCAGTATTTTAAATAGCAGCAAAATTACTGAAAATACTATAAATAGTAGTAGTTTATACTTTATAGCATATACATTGCATCTATAGGAAAACTGTATTTTTTTTGTTTTAACTATTACAGGTTTATTTAAATGTTTGTTGTTAAACACTTAACAGTTGAGATTGAGATGTTACAAATTGTCACTTTTTTTTTATATTAACATAATAATTTAAGGTAGTAACTAGTGATTTCCACTTTATACTAAACAAACTGACTAGGAACTGGTTGAATGTTATTCAGGAAGTTTAAGTTTACCATAAACACAGCTTAAATTAATGTTTAAACAAAACTTTTTTTTTACGTGAGAAGACTTAATGCGCTGTTTTTGAGAACAAATATTAATTTTAGTTTCCCTGTTCTTGCTATTATCCACCTCCTTTGCTTTATAATATTATTCTCATTCTACTCCATTTCCTCAATTTTGAGGGTGTGAAATTTGACTCTTCTAAATGCATTCCATATGGGAACATAAATTTTGTTTTTCCACATTCTTGCAGAAAAATGTGCTGAACAGAATCCTTACACATAAAAGTTTCAGAACAATTCTTGTTATGTGTTATGTCTAATAGCTACACTGGCAAAGTATGATCCATTAATTGGTAACAGGTGTATTACTTCACAACTAGAAGGATAACTATTATGATACTGAATCATACATTAATGGGTCATATTTTGCCACCATACGACTTCAGTGATGAAACGACTCAACAGATCCCCTCGTAACCCTTCTTTTTTTGAGAGATAACAATTTGATAGATCTTAACCTGAACTTGTATGACAACCTTTCCATTTCGAGTATCATTTTGGTAGCTTTTCTCTGAACCCTTTCCAACAATTCAACGTCCTTCTTAAGTTAAAAGAGCCCAAACTGAACATGATACTCAAAATAATGGCCTAACCAAATACCCATACAATGATATCATAACCTATTCCATCTTCAGCGAAATCTGAAAATTGTGTTACAAAGATGATGATTTCTAAAATTATAATATAATAACATAATCATTAATTTAGTTAGTTATTAAAAAAAAATGGTAAATGGACAGATGAAACAATGTTTATATAAATATTACACAACAGCTGAGTTAAGTGTGAAAATTTAGAAAAATTTTAGATCTAAAGAGCTTTGCGAGTTGTTACGGGTCGGGTGGTCTTTAGCTGTGAGTAGACATTCTTTGATGTAGTGGTCAAGGTCTGAAGATCCTGTGGTGATGATGATGAAATCGTTGAATGAAATATTGTGACCTGTGGTTTCAGAATGTGAGCGATTTGGCCCACCACCATTTCCTGGGTGACCCTAAGAGTACATGTTAGGTTAATCAATCCAGAAGTTTGCCAATTATAAGCTGACACTTTCAGACTTTTGTCAAATAACAGTTTAGATTAATATTTAGAAACTTTAATTGCCGAATACATAAATAGTTTGACAAAATTTTCAATTGCTGTAACCTGTAGAAATAATGGCTGGGTGGCTCATCTGGTTGAATGACATTAAGAGAACGCTGAATACGAACACTATTATTGAAGATGGAAATGCCTAAACAGATATAGCTTCTTGAAATAGTGCTGAAAATATTAAGAAAAAGATCAGAAATTATTATGAATATGAACAATTCTTATAAAAGGTTGATTAATTATGAGTAGTAATCGTGTCACTAATGAAGATGGTGATTATCTATAGGCCACACGTCAAAACGAATGTAGCACAATTTCTAGACAGTTTTATTGCAATGAAAAATAATGAAGTTGCTGTGTGTGTTTAAGGTATTAGTATAAATATTTCAATATTATTGTAATTGTATAAAGAGAGCTAGGTGAAGTAATTTGTATGATACAAATCAACATTCTGTTTAATCAGTGTATTATATTTTGATGAAACTGTTATCAGTCAAACTGACAGTATTGTTTTTAAACTATATTTGGATAAGTAAAAAAATACAGGAATACTTGAATTTAGTAATTTTATTGTGATATGCTGTCATGAATTGAAGTATTTTTAATAAGATTATATTTAACTTTTCTTTTTGATTGGTTTCTCAATTACCATCCTGTGTGTAGACTGGAATCATGTTGTGTTGATGGCTGTAATACATTTTTAATTAGAACTTTGTTTTGTTTCATAAATAAGTTTACAAATTCAGAGCCATAATATATGTTTATATTTTCATAGATAAATTGGTGTAAACTAGATTTTATAAATTCATACATTGAAATGATAACATGAAATTAAATACTACAGGTCAAGAGGTCAGGGCAGAGGTCGTGGAGGCCAGAACCGAAAAGTTCCCACAGCTGAGGAATTAGATGCTGAACTGGATGCCTATGTAAACAAGGTAAAAACTTTCCATAACACTGATAAACACTTTGAACTACTGAAAGATGTTTTTTGTGGTCTTTTTAGTATAAAGCTTAAAAATATACTTTTTTCATTTAGATCATTCTCAAAATGATGAGCATGGTGTTGTGGATAATATTGGGTGATTAACTCGATATTTTGTGAGCATCAAGTGCCCTTTTGGCAGTAGGGTTGTTATATTTGTTTCTGTTTTTGAACTGTAGCAAAGCTGCAAAACCTATCAGCATTTACTTTTACCAGACAGCTCACCACCAACTCTTGGGCTACTCTTTCAGCATCGGCTCAGCCCCTGGGAACGACCTCGTAACCATTTTATGCTGTAACTTTTAAATTAGTAAGCAAATATTAATGAAATTCGGCAGATTATCAGTAAATATTACAATGTTTTCGTATGCTAAATATAAAATTTTTTTATTGAGTCTTAAGGTTTCTAAAGCAATGTTTTTCTCATGCCTTTCTTTTCTTTTTGCATGTTGCCTATCTAACAAGCAAAGTAATTTTCATTTTAATTCTCTCTTCTAGTTACAATTTTTGTACTCGGTTGCTGCTTGACATAGGTTGCCAAGCCTTTTATAATTTTTCACATTGAGGATATGAAACAAAATTTTTTTTATGTTTTATATATACATTTGAATAACTAAAAAATCATCGGTACCATAGAATTCCACTATAATTTATCAAGCTTAGTAACTAAGCTGTATTTTAGTCTTAAAAAATGTGGAATTTCGAGCAGACTAAAGACACGTCCTATCTCGTTGAAATCTTGGTTCAGAAGAAAGAATTGGCATCCAAACACGTTAAAATGGCCAAGAAAGCCACTAGTGGGACATTCTGAGCTTTCGATTGGTTATTCATGTCATATATAGAAGTATATATAAGGGAGCATTTCCAAATATGGAAAGAGGTGGGTGGAGTGACACTGTGTTTGATTTATTACATGATATATATATATATATCTTAGCAAATAGAGAAGATAAAACATTCTGATTTTATGTTCTAGCTTGTAAATATTGGTAATTTGAGTTTCTAAAATCGTACTAAACTACAGACTTAGTATTTTGACTTCATAAACATCTAATTTGAACCAGTGCTGCATTCAACATACTACGTGACATACAAAAATTGATGTTTATCTGTGTTTTTTTAATATTTACATTTAAATTAAGAAATTGAATAATGTGTAGTGCTAAAATCTACAGTTTGATTCCAAACTTATTGACATAAATTCATAAAATAGTAGTTCAGTAAAATTTTGAATGCTAGTCAACAAATGAGATGACCTGGCCTTTCAATAGTGACCCATCTCAAAAGGGTTAACCAAGGAATAGGATTTACTAATAATAACACTTTAGTAGCTTTGCTGTAATTCAAACAGACTTATTCAGCATCAGATACATTCCAACTTAACACGCACACACCACAATAGCTAGTATTTCTGTTGGGATGTACACAGTTCACGAATGTGAGGGTGTGCCTTAGTGGTTACATATCTAGCCACAGTGATGCTTGCATTTACCTTTTGTGGGCTAAGTATTAGTATAGCTTTATGTACATAGTTCACGAATGTGAGGGTGTGCCTCAGTGGTTACATAACTAGCCACAGTGATGCTTGTATTTACCTTTTGTGGGCTAAATATTAGTATAGCTTTATGTACATAGTTCACGAATGTGAGGGTGTGCCTCAGTGGTTACATAACTAGCCACAGTGATGCTTGTATTTACCTTTTGTGGGCTAAATATTAGTATAGCTTTATGTACATAGTTCACAAATGTGAGGGTGTGCCTCAGTAATGCTTGTATTTACCTTTTGTGGGCTAAGTATTAGTATAGCTTTAACTTTACATATATATATTGCTTGCTTATTACAAGTTACAAATGTAACCAATATTACTAAGAGTAAGATTGCTTTAATAAAGAAAAAGTTACAACAAATTAATATTTGTTATTCTTTATTTGGTCAAAACATTTTGCTTACTTAATGGTGTTTATCAGAAATTACTAAACTTGTACTAATGAGTCTGACAATATATATAAAACCATTAAGTTGTTAACCTATTTACTGAACAAGAAACTTGTTTAATCACAACTAGATCTAGCTAGATAAAAAGCACTGAAAAGGGAAAACAAGTGTAACTGTTGTCATGTGTTTCTTTAACACTGTCTACCTTGTACAGTAAAAGTGTATGTTGTTTTATTTACTATTTCTTCTGGTTTATGCTGTCAAATGTAAATGTGTTCTTTCTAAACTTCTGTCCATATGAACAACTTGCATAAAAGATATTTTCATACTTATAAAAGTTAATTATTTTTTTAAGTTTGTTTCTACTGGTGGAGAGTTTTTCTGGTGTTGCTATGATTTTAATTTTTTATATAAAACCACAATTTCCACTTTATGAATCATTTAATTTTTTTCAAAGCGGTCATCTAGTATCAAACAAAGAAAATGATAAATTAATTTAAAGTAATCAATTAGCCAATTCATCTAAACACCCAGCTTCATTTGTTGATGGTTCAGGAAAAACTTACATTATGAAAGAATTGTTTTTTTTAAGTATCACTGTTGAAAATGTACATTTGAATAAAACTGTTTATCAGTTTGTTTCTAACAGTATTGTTATTTTGTGAAAAGTTTATTACATTTTGATAGAACTAAACTGTTATCAGTCAAGTTAGCAGTGCTGCCAGTAGTAGATCTAGTAATACGTATTCAAACATAACTAATGTGGAAAAATTCCTTTGGTCATCATAATGATCAATGATGCACTCACTTTATTGAGTGGCTTTTGAATGGAAAGTGCATGATTACTAAAGTAATAAATGAGCATCAGTGTTGAAATCCATGCTGTATCACTAGTTTGCATCCACATAAATTAACCCATTAACTGCGGATGACTGATATTTCTGTCATTGATGTTCTGTGGCTCAGATGCGATTGATGGAAATATCTGTCAGTCGCACATATACAACTATAACTCTATGCGAATGACGAAATTTGCCATTTTATTGCGATTGATGGCAACTCAGTTTTATCTGTGAGTCAGAAAACGGCAACTGAGCTGCTGCAGTTAATGGGTTAATACTACAAAACTAGATAATGTGGTGGAAAGAAGTCATAATAATTCTTAATCATGAAACAAGTTGCTTTTAATCACATTACATAGTTGGTGTCCGTATTGTAATACAATATCATCACTGCATAATAGGCCTCATTAGGATTTAATTCATACTTGGTGCTGTGTTGGAGATTAACCTAAGTTACAAAAATTTATGTAATTTTTCATGTCAAAGGAACAAGTTTCATTGAATTGGAGCAAATTATTTTTCTTCTTTCAAAAAAATGATTAAGTTTTTAAACTTTCTTATATACTGTTAAATTAAGTTGTAGATTTGAATATTCCCTTCTTGCATGTACAACTGATTAACAATATCCTTGTTTTTCAGATGGACTAATAAAGATCTTTTGGCAGTTACATTTCTCCATTGAAATTGTTTAAGGCCATAATTCTTCCAGCAAGAAGACGTATTGGACAGAAATCAATAAGGCACACTGCATTTTTGTTAGCATGTGCATTTGTACTTGGATATTTCTTTTAGCATCAGTTTGTGATTTTAAAACAATGTAAATCATAATCGTGTGTGTTAATTGATTATCATCCTCATTTGATTAGTTGTAAAATTTGCTTCATGCTCATAATAAACATTTTATATTATATATCAACCCAATTGCCCTTTTTTTAAACTTTATATTTTTACTTGTCGTTTAACCATTTGTGTAAACGAGACCAGTAGATTTTCAATTTAAAAATCTGGTTCAGAAAGGTTCCCACTCTTATTTATCTACAAATAAAGAAAGATTGTATCACCAAACTTATCACAAAACAATGTATGTGTGTTGCAAATAAATCAAATATTTTCACATTTAATAATTTGACTAGTGGAATTGTATACAGTTCAAAAGAAGGTTAAATGAAAGGATAAAAAAAAATGTGTATCAAATAATGAAAAAAGAAATTTAATACTATAAATCTAATATGAAAGCAAATGACTACTCATAATATCTTTGCTTAAAAATGCTACATATAAAACTAATATAATACACATTGAACAAAGAAGATTAAAATACTTATTTTTAGTCATGTTTAAGTATTCTGTATTTGGTGTTTAATAGCTTTATGTACAATAACTTTTTGAAGGAGACAACACAAAGTGCTCAATAGCTTGTATCATCACTTTCTTTGCCCTGTATTTAATATCCTTAACATATTAGTTTATTTTGTCAAAGCTGGTTCTTAATTGTTAAAAAATACCACACTTTTTAAAGTTATTAATTTCCAATGCATGGACTGATTATAATGCAAACTTGTTCTCCCCAACATTTCAAATACAGGTTTCATTGTTATCAGTGTACAAAAATTGACATCCTCAAATGAAAATTAAACTGCCTTGCTACTATTTAAACACAGTTTCTATGAAAAATAAATAACTGTACAAGTTCTCTCAAGACTGTTATAGAGATGTGAACTGTTATTAATAGCATTCAATATTTTTCTAGTGCTGCAAGTATACATGAACATATATAAACATTAAAATAAATGTACATTTTTTTTATTTAGTGTGCACTGTCCTTTAAAGTTCTAACTTGTAGAGAAATGTTTTCTTAGTTTCTTTTGTAAATGCAAGATACTGAACTTGTATGATCTGAGAATGCACTGTACTTTTAGAAGTATGTTAAGCAGGCTGTACTAAAAATAAGGTGTGGATGTGATGAGAAATCTTGTTTATAGTAAACTTGATATGGAATAATACTTCTGGTGAAAGAAAAATGTTCTGTGGTTCTAATTAGAAAGTCCAATCGTGTCTGGTGAACAAAGATGTTTGAAATTTTATTTTGGCTAAGGCTTGCAAAAAGATATTTCACCTGGAAATACACATATATTATTATGGCTTAATATAAAAAGGTATGCAGGTAATGTATACAACTAAGAGAATTATATGTGTTTGGGGTAATTATGTAGTTTGCTGTGCCAAATCATGCATTGCATTTTTGTGTTAAAATTCTAACAACTATACTCTTGATTGCAGTATTACAATATTTACTACTGGCCGTTTCAATTTATTATTTTGTGTTGTTAACACGGCAATGACTGAGATACTTTTACTGCCAGTTTCATATTACTTCTAATAGTAATACTATGGACATCTTCCTTATAAGTGAGTTGGAAGACTTGTTCTTGTTTTCTTCCAATGTAAATTTCAACATTAGGTAGTCTATGAACAAACTATGCACTAAATATGGTAATTTTTAATAGAAAAATCAACTTAAAATTAAATTTTATAATATTTGAGGAATCATCTTTACAGCCAAAGCCAGTATAACAGAGACCAACAAAGTCTCACTTTAAATATGGGATAGATATCAAGTACAAAGTATTAGTCCAAACATATAATTAATCTGTATTGATACATTTTTATATGTTACCAAATTACCACACTGCTGTTGTTAATGGACATAATTACTTAGTTGTCTCACGAACTTATTCCATTGATTAAAATGGTTATAGTGAAAACAAGTTTAATATGTACCAAAGTGTTTCTAGGACTAGTGCTCTGTTTTCAAGACAAACCTGTGAAATGTATGTTTAAATTTATCTTATTAAAGAAGTGTTTCAGGATATCTGTTACAATTTTGTATGAATGACATTTTGTAATCAAATTTCTATAGTAGGTTTGAATACTTAAGATTTTCCTAAACATCTAACAGAGAAATAAGGCAACCATAAGTTAGTGTATTCTTAGTCTTCAACTGTACTGCATACTAACTATCTCAGAACAGAATTGTTTTACATATGGCAAAGTTCCCAGTGTAAAGTTGTGTATACAAAGTATGGTAGTGTGTAACTGTTATAAGAACAACAGTATAATCATATTAAACATATCAAAGGTATTTTGATATATATATGTATATATAGTTAAAATATAAGAACTGAAACAGTAATAAATTTCAAATCAATATAAAATTTATTTTGTACAATGTATACACAACACGGAAAAAGCTTTGATACGTGTGCATGAACATAGTTTTGTATGAGGTTGACAGTATTGTTTATTTACTGTTAAAGAGTCAGAAAACAAATCTGAAACAATACACTTCTTAACTGTGAAATTGTAATTAAACATCATTTAAACCAAATAATTGTGTAAGCGTAAGATGCGAGAAAAATATGTCCATTTTTTAATTGTTTAAATGTATCAAAGTAAATTATGAAGTAAAAAATATTTAATATAAAAGTTCTTGATCATTTCTTTACAAAAAAAAGTAAACCCAAAAATCAATTTTTTACAGTTTATATTACTAACTACAGTGTTCTAATTGGTTTTGTATTGATAACTAACATGGCCAAAAACTGGTTGAAAAGGATTTGACAAAATAAAAGGCTGTCTTATCATTTAGCTTTTAGTAAGAATTTGGAAGCACGCATCATTATTGAAGCATATCTCTAATCACACTTATGATATTGTAGTTTACAAGACAATGGTTATGTCTGTGCAGAAAGGATTCAGGAAGCGACTTAACTTCAGTACCTTAAACTCAAGCTAATAGATTTGTCGTCAATTAATTTTTCAACAGATTAGGTGCATATAAAATATTCATTTCTAAAAACACTTTCTTACTATTACTGAAGTGAAATTTACACTAATTTTGTATCATAGTGTTACCTCTATTAATTGCAACCACGTCAGTCAAAGATTTTATAACAGTTCAGCAAGTTCACTATCAAACCATATCTGTGCAACCAGTATACAAAACAGTAGTTAAATAAGTTCTACAATGTGCTGGAACAATATTTTCATTGCATAACTGATCTTACACCACAGTAACAGTTTACAAGTTGTACTTTTAGTTATTGGTAACCCAATAGTAAATATCAAACTGAAAGCAAAATGTTCTTTCAGGGTCAAAACAATACATTAATATCTCAAATATAATTAAAAATCCACTGTTTTAATACCTTGTCCAGTAGTTAAATCTTAATTTCCAACCACCACAGTTTCTGAAGATTAATTACAAATATTACACACTTTTATACATCCAATAATGTTCTTCTAATTGATTATATGTTCAACTTGGTCTTGTTCATGGACAGAAAATAGACATACGCACACAATAACTACTCTGGTTTTAATGACTTTTTTTATAACAATAAATTTGTTCTCTAAAGAGATTGAATAACATTATCATTTGCAAAGAGCATTTCAGAAAATAAACACAGTTGAATAAAAAAAAATAGTTAAAGTAAATTTTAATTGAAAATGTAAACCAACACTTCTATATGAATCTTGTGGCCTGAAGAGGGTGTTTGAGAATTCATAATTATTTTTCCTTTCAAAACTATTACACGTAAGCTTCATTATTAGGGTATATATATATTTTAAACACCAACTTCCTTAATGATAGATCATGTATTTCCTCACTTGTGTAAAAAAAAATTAAATTCAATGTAATTCCTCTTTGGTAAAAGAATAGAATATGATAAGTATATCCTACATACATATACAGCTCCAAGAATATAAATACTTCTTTAGGAGAAAGCTAAGTAACCTGCCTTTAGTATATTTCTTAATAAGCATACAGTTAAGATCAGAAAGCTTGATATACAGAGGAGCTAAAAACTTATTTTCCCTTCTAACACTATGTACACCTTTATTTGAATTTGATGGTTCAAGTATAAACCTGTTATAAAACACCTATGAAGGTCATTAATACAACAAACACGTTTTTTGTAGCACCCAATACTCTTCATTAATCATCTACAAAATCTGTGTGGTGCAAAGTTCAAAATTAGCATACGCTAGTAACTTTATTTACTGGTTTACACAAACTGTGTTTTGTTTAACTCATTCAAGTTATCATCCCCCCAAAAGGGTGGTTATGTTTTCCAAAAGTCAATAGCTTCCATTTTTTTGGGAGGCTATTTGTCTAGATCAGTGGTTCTGAAACTGTTTGGTTTGCAGACTGCCTAAATATACTTTTTTCTACCTCCAACAGACCACAATGGGATCTATATACAGGGCATCTGAAAAGTCTGGAACCATAAGTGATTTGTAGATGTCCTTAATTTCAGATTTGTGACTGATTATGGTGCTGTCAAAGAATGAGAAGGTCAAGTTAATCCAAACTTGTTTCAGATTGCAAGGACAGCTTGTGGAACACGTTCTGTAAAACTTGTTGAAGTGCCTATGGTTCCAGACTTTTCAGACACCCTGTACACATGTGCTGCTGCTTTCTTTTCTTAATTATGCAATTTTTCCATGGACCATGTAGGGCACCCAGAGACCAGATACTGAAAACTGCTGGTTTAAGTAATCAAACTACAAATGGCATATATCGTGTGTCATGATTTTTTGTGGTTCCAACTTAGTTTCTCCATTGGATAATATTATACATATATATCATACACATAACTGACAGTTGCATGCTTTGAAAAAGTACTTTTGAAATAGTGGAATTTTCTGAAAGAACATACCCAAAAATCTATTGTGAAACAAATGAGATAAGCAACATCTTTTATTAAGATTTCATTGTTAAAAGTTTGTAATTAAAGCATTTTGTTTTATAAAATACTTTCTACTAACAGATGTATCTAAAAATAGTTGTCTTATGACACATAAGGCAATAGAACCAACTTAGTCTTCAACTTTCTGTACATAACTTAGAATTACTTTAATAATCAGTTTTATTTAGCTATTCAACTCCAAAATAGTTACTTTATACACCTCAAGCAAACATTTATGAATTAATACAATTTAAACATCATCGACCAATTTCTTTTTACGACAATATGTAATTATTTTCCCTAATTTTCCAAATATTCACATGTGTGTGTATGGGTATTTAACTTTTTTCAGAATCCTTAAATTATCACCATTTTAGCTTCTATCCTGGTTATAAATGCTAATAAAATCTTCAGTATACAATACAACAATAAAACATTTCATTTTTGTTTATAGAACTCACCTACAATTAGATATATTGAATTAGGTAATTATCACCAGAAAAACCAAGTGGCTATCCAAGGTTATGTTAAAATATGCTAATAATTGGAATAGCTAAGCAGCATGATTTGCAACAGTATGCAGATTCTGAGATCAAAAGAGGAGGGGCACAATATTCCAGAGTTTTCCAAGTTTTAGGTTAATTTTCCAGTTTTCCCAGACTTTCCGACACACTTTCATTATATGGAGACATAATCCAACATTATCAACAAATTCACAGCAATTATACCTCAAATTCAACCGTCACAGATCCCTCAAATCATACAAATACAGCTTACCCCAACACACACTAGTATTTTTAACCATACAACAATAAGAAATACACAGTAGGTAACATGTTACCCATACACATACAAAAATCTCTCCAGGAATACAAAACTATCACAATTAGACAGCTTACTCCACTTGTCTTTCTGACTATACAAAATACACAGTAGGTAACATGTTACCCATACACATACAAAGGTCTCTCCAGGAA